TAAGAGTCTAACAGTGTCTAAGGAGATCAGTTTCTATCTGACACTGATAACTAAAAAGAAAGTTCCTGTGCAAAGTTAGCAATAGTGTTCCCCAAAGGGATTGTCATAAGGTTCTCCCAAATTCAATGTGCACAGGGGCTCATTTAGGTAGAAGGAGGAAAACAAGGAGCTCAAGAAATATCTAGGATGATTGAGTGAATTATCCTGAGAAAATAAAGTCTAGGGAGAACTGGATAGAAGCCAAGACTCCAGTCATATGATGTGAAGCTCCACATAGGCTTCCAGACATAGTGGAAAGAAATAAAAGGCACTTTAGGATACAAGAATGAAGAAATCCTAAGAACTAAGTGGTAAGAGTTTGGGAAGACAGGCTACTTCAAAACTGCAGATGGAAAACAGTAACACTAATTATGGTTACCAGCTACAAATGATAATGAGGATCTACTATATTTCCAAGCTTTGCTTGGAGTGGTTTTGACACTGGGCCAATGTAACAATTGTAAATTCTTTAGAATTTGTAATTGGATTGGTAGTGGTGGGAAGAGGTGTTAAAGGCATTCAGGGATTGACAATATCTATCAATTGTTTGGTGATATAAAAAAAAAACAAACCCAAATGATTCCTATAATTTTAAATATTTAATGTCATTGAAGCCATTCATCAAATAAAAACTTTAGCAAAGAAAAAAAATGTTTTTAAAAAACAACAACAAACTTGCCAAAAGTTCCTTTCTAAACTTTTGGCAAATGGCTAGAGCTATCTATAAAGTCTTCTGTGGGTACAGTTACCACTTGTCTTCATGGCTATATACAGGCAAATTAGAAAAAGCACCTCTCCTCTCAGAATGAATTAGAGAAAAAGAATTCAGCTCCTCCTTATCGCATTAACCAGAGGTTTTGTGCAAAACTCTATACAGTGGCTCTGAATGTGAGTCTCTGAATTGGTAAATATGTGATATGGCACACCTGTAGATACAGGTCAAATCAACTTTGGAGGGTTTATTGCCTTACATTAGAACTCCAGGACGTCTTTAAATAAAGAAGAAAAATTCTCTCCATGTAGTTGATACTCTGCATAAGTGCTTTTAAACCCTTTGTTTACATTATGAATCTTTTTTGAGAATCTGGTTAAAACTATGGACTCATTAACCAAAAGATGCTTGCGCATACATGTAAACACACACAAAATTGTATATATAATTTCATGGTTCATAGATCTCCTGATGCCCATTCATAGGTCCCTGTGGCTCTTGAGTGCTATTTTAAACAGTCAAATTTAGTTTATTTAGATGTTCACCCACAGAAAAATTGGGACATGAAGCTACAGAGGTTTCCACTCAGAGATCAACACAAAAAAGAACAATAAAGCAAATTTAGTCAAATGTGTTGAGAACACTCCCCATAATAACAAATGCAGAATATCTCAGATCCCCATACCATAGAAGTTTCTATATAATGTCTCCATATATCACCTGAACATACAATATATTATATGAACATTATAAAGCTTGCAACTGATCATTTTTCCAGATTTAAGTAAAAATTTAGAAATTAATTTTTTTTAAGGATTTTATTTATTTATTTGACAGAAAGAGACACAGCGAGAGAGAGAGAGAGCATAAGCAGGGGGAGTGGGAGAGGGAGAAGCAGGCTTCCCGCCGAGCAGGGAGCCCGATGTGGGGCTCGATCCCAGGACCCAGGGTTCATGACCTGAGCTGAAGGCAGACACTTAACAACTAAGCCACCCAGGTGCCCAGAAATTAATTTCTTAATATGTTGCCTCATTATAAATGTAATTTGAAGCAGATCGATTTCCTTCTTTGCCTTGACCTACAAGAAGTCTACAAAAAAATTTGTAGTCCATGTGAAGAAACTATGTATTAATATTATGACTTAATATCTTATTCTTCATTTCCTTTCTCCTCATCCTGATTATATATTTTCTTTCATGTACATACTGTATACATAATATTATGTGTATGTATATATAATACTGGATGTATGTCAATTTTTTAGAAAAAAGATTATAAGAAATGTAAATTCCTTTAAAAAGAATAAGAATGATTAATTAAGAATGATATTAAGATTTGCTTTCTTAGGAATATGTCAGCAATAAAGAGCCAGCACATCTCTCGAAAATCTGCTATTCCTTTAGGCCACTGGTACCATTAAAATAAACGAAAGTAAATAAAACTTCACAGACAAAAAAGCTACCCCTCTGCGTTCTAAAGTCTCCTATCCCACTAAAATTCTCTATATGGGAGTCTGATGAATATCTACATTCTTCAATGCAGAATTCAACATTCTTTCCTTTGTACTCCCATGGCATAGCACATGGTATATCATCTGCTGTAACAACTATTATTATATTATAATCATATTTGTATTTTTTTTTCCTCTACTACTTCTAGAGCTTGGGAACTGGGATCCTATCGTATTCATCTTCATATATCTGGCATCTAGCACAAGGAGGGCCATAGTAGTAGGCAAGAGATTGTTATTAACACCAGTGGACTGACGTTATATATACCAAAGAACAACGTAAGAAATGTCAGAGTAGACAAGAAAGACTGGTTCCTAAACAAATCTTCAACTCATCAACATCTTTATAACTTTACTTCAATCCTAGTTTTCCATCAGCTCTGCCCTCCAAGTTTATTCCCTGTGGAGAGAGACCCTTATGGCCTTAACATGGCCCCACCTACATTCTCTCTTGAAAGGTTAGGCCTTTTACTAATATTTGCTGAATAGATCAATCAAAGGCAATCTCGCATAGTAAAGGAGGTCCCAATAGAATAATGTATACTTTAACATGTCTGTGTGTGCATGAATGTGTATGTGTACATACATACGAGTATGAAAAATCACAAATTTTTATCATCTGTAAGATAATGAACTCTTTTTACCACCTTCTTTCTCATGTCTCTTACCAGGCCTGACATATCTAAATATTCAAGACACTAGGTATGTGGTAGAGCTCCAAAGTATTTAAGGCATTGAATAGCTCTGATTGGTAGAGGTGTCAATATTTGCATTAATGTACCCTTCTTTCAGCTTTAAAAATCTTTCAAAATATGATAAAATGTATTAGTATTCCACCTCTTTACTTACTAGTTGTATGACCTTAGATTAGTTACTTAATTGCTGTATCTCAATTTCCTTATCTGTAAAATGAGAATAATAATAGTCCCTATTTCATGGTAATGTTATGAGAATTAAGTTCATTAAAATATGTAAAGCACTTAGAAAACTGCCTAAAACACAATAAATACTCCATAAATATTAACTTAATAATATTTATTACAAAAACATTTTCTACTCAAAGTCTTTAAAATGTAAATTTTTTCAGAGCAAATATTTTTTGAAAGCCATAATCCAGACTACTTGAGAGTATCATTTAGCCTATTTTTCAGCAAAACAAAGAAAACACTGCATTTTTTTTTGTAATATTAGGTTCAAAAACATGAAAATGCCATTTTTATAGGCAATATCAGCAAGTATATAGGGTTAACTTTCACAAAGTATTTTGTTAGAAAAATTAAATACATTTCATTGAATGCATTTAAAATAATTTTAAGCAATGGAATCGTAGCATGAAATTAAGTTTCCAAAAATAATTTTAAAATAACTAAAATATTGTCATCATAAACATCTTTAGGGGTGGTATAGATTGAATATTTGTGTCTACCCCTAACCCCATTAATATGTTAAGACCTAATCCCCAGTGCAATGGTGTTTGGGGGTGGGACCTTTGGGAGATAATTAGGTCCTGAGGGCTCTGCCCTCCTGAATGGGATTACTGCTTTTATAAGAGACTGAGAGAACTCCCTGGCCCCATCCACCAGTAAAGATAGCTGTCAATGAGGAAGTGGGCCTCACTAGACACGGAATCTGCTTGTGCCTTGATCTTGGACTTCCCAGCCTCTAGAACTGGGAGAAATAAATGTTTGTTGTTTATTCGTATGATCTTTTGTTATAGCAGTCCAAATGGGATATGGAAGAACCTGACTATACTACTAAAAAGGCAGTAAACACCTTCCTGGTGAAACATTGTCTTTTTAACCAATAGGGTTCAACTTTTCTACTTTAGTTTTCTAAATGGAATTTTATATGAAAAGACTAATGCAGCTCCAAAAAAAAAAAAAATAGTGACTCCCTTTTCATTTGAAGACAGCCCAAATTATTACTTTCAATCGTAAGATACATTTAAATAGATACTTCCAAAATTCCTGATATTAGAACTTTCATTTCCTTTTTATAGAAGGGAAGAAGTATGCTTAAAGACAGGTGGTTTCCCTGAAAGAGAAAATTAAAAATCCTTATTCTCAGATCTGAAAAATATCAATCCCTCAAATGTAGTCATTCGTTACTTTACTCACTCAACCAACATTTATTGAATGCCTCCTGTGTGCTCAGTGCAGTTCTGATTCTGAGGTCAGAGGTAAAAGTCATTAGCCCCCCTCCCTTTAAGATTTTATTTATTTATTTTAGAGAAAGAGAGAGACATGCAGGTGGCGGAGAGGGAGAGAGAGAATCTCAAGTAGACTCCTGGCTAAATGTAGAGCCCAATGCAGGGATCAATCCCAGGACCTGAGATCATGACTGGAGACCAAATCAAGAGTTGGGACGCTTGACTGACAGCCACACAGGCACCCCTATTTTGTCCTTCAAGAACTAAGAATCCTCAGAGAGACAAATTAAATAGAAAATAATAATAAAATATGATAAAAGCTATAAAAGAATCTAGGAAAGGGACTAAGCTCAGATTGTAGGGAATGGAGCATAGTATAATCCAAGAGAGAAAAATAGCAGAGTATAAAACGAGGGACATGTGAGGGGCCAAAGCAATCAGGAAAACTTGAAAGACTGAGTTGGGATGGACTGAAGGTGAAGGCATGCAAGCACACACATACTGATTACTGTATATATTCACTGCGTATCTGTAACCTAATCAAGGTAACAGAATAAAGAATACAAAAACAGAAAAAAAGAACAACTTACCATGCTTTCCCCTAGAAATATCCACATACTGGCAAAGTCTGGGATGAGTGATGGTCTTAAGGATTTGAAATCGCCCTAAAATTTTGATGGAATTTGGTGTAAGAGGAAGCCCATTGCTTCCACAAACATCATGTGGCAGAGCCGAGGCAAAGAAGGTAAAGGCACCCATTTCAGCATCCTTTAGGGGAAACATTTCGGAGTCTTCGATCTTCTAAGATAATCTGGAAAAAGAGATAATTTTATGACAGATCAACCAAAAATTAAGCCAGTGTTTTCTAACCTTAAATATGATTAATAATATATAACTTGGAGGAAAATGCCAATCAGAACACTTCACTGTAAAATATATCAAAGTTAAAAAATTCCAAGATAATATCAAAGAGGAAAAACCACCCAATCATAAATTTACATTGTAGTTCTAAATCATAATCAAAGATTTTCAATGGCATAAAAAGGAAAATATAGAACATTCCCTTTTCAATGACACCTGATGGTTTTAATAGCTTAGAGGAAATCTGTTATTGCATATTTATATCAACAAGGATCTTATGCTTACCTAAAGCTTGAATAGAGAAGAGACCATCAAGACCATCAAGAACTTTTCCTTCTCACAGAGAGTAAAGTCAGGAAAGAGGAAATAAAGATACCAACCATTAACTTTAAATTATCAGGGCCTCTATTTTTTTTTTTTTTTAAGATTTTATTTATTTATTTGACAGAGAGAGAGACAGCGAGAGAGGAAACACAAGCAGGGGGAGTAGGAGAGGGAGAAGCAGGTTTCCTGCTGAGGAGGGGCCCTATGAGACCCCGGGATCACGACCTGAGCTGAAGGCAGAGGCTTAAGGACTGAGCCACCCAGGTGCCTCAGGGCCTCTATTTTGATAGTAGTAAAAATTAAACTAGATAATAGAGGCTTCTATAATATTACTTAATGAATCAATTTTTGTTTTTGTGCTAGGTACTTTACATGTGATCTGTTTTAGTTATTTATTTTTTAAAAGATTTATTTATTTATTTGAGAGGGAGAGAGAGACAGAGAGCGAGAGCAGGAATGGGTGGGGGGTGGGAGGAGAAGGGCAGAGGGAGAGGGAAAAGCAGACTCCCCTGTGATCTGGGAGCTGAACATGGGACTCAATCCCAGGATCCAGGGGATCATGACCTGAGTGGAAGGCAGACGCTTAACCGAATGAGTCACCCAGGCGCCCCTACATGTGACCTGTTTTAATTCTCTCAACAACCTTCACAGATGTTATTGCCCCTGGTTTATAGATGTTTCATATATATATAGATATATCTATATATACATATATATCTGGAGTGGTCCTATTGACATGGCCTCCAAAGCAAATAATGCCCCAGACGAGGTAACCTGGAGATTAAGGAACTTGCTCCAAATCAATCTGAATCACATTAAGATAATCACAACAAAAAAGATCCTTAGGCAAAAAAAAATCTTTCTCTCACCCAGGTGTCTCACTAAAAAGACATTCCATTGCTCAAGCACTGCATGCTTCCCTTCTCAGCTTTCAAGATAAAAATGTTGGAATTCAAAATAGAATAGACCACTTTTCATGTCTGTGCAGAAACCTCATTAAAAACATTAAAAAGAAACATTTTAAAATGTATAAACTCATAATAAGGAAGAGAACAGAAAAGGGCCATGAGCTAAAGAAAGAGTTCAAAAAACTCCAATATAGCATTTTGCATACATAGGAGTATTGTCATAAGCAAAAGAAAGAAGCTACAACCTATATTACAGTCAAGAGGTGTGTTGGGCCTCTTCAGATTCAGAGGCTTCAGATCAGAGAAGCAGAAATAATGAGGAACATAAGTCAGAAGAGGGTTTGAAATGAGAAAGATAATTTAAAGGGCTGAAGAATAAAAGAGTTAACTCTGCCACTGGCCTTCCCAATACTGGGTAGTTATTTATCCTCAAAGGAAAAAAAGTTAAATTTCTTCCCTAGAAATTAAACCGTGTGGGAATTACAATAATAGCTGGTAGCAATGGTGACAAAAGCGAACTGTTCTTAATTCTAGAATTTGTAGGACCCCAGTTAAGATTTATCTACCCAGCCATCCTAAAGCACAGTACAGCAGTCAACAAGCTTATCCATATACACAAAGCTCTCAGACAGACTTCCTTAACTCTGAAATAATGAACTGCCCAGGAATCACCAGATAGTTGAAGAAAGACTACATTATAATGGGCAAAAAATAAAATAAACAAATTAAAAAAATCTGCCCTGGAGGCAACTAAAATAACTTATGGAAAAGAAAACAACAAAAACCAAAACTGGCTGAAATATATTTAGAAAAATTTGAGACGACATTACATCAGGCAGTATGGTAAAACATATTTCACAAAAGAGTAAAAAAGGAATTGCTGATACAGATGAACAACCTCATTAATATCCAAGAAGTTGCTCATTAAAACTACATGAGAATTTATACCTGCAAGATAGTAAAAATTAAGAAATTTGATAATATGGGGCGCCTGAGTGGCTCAGTCATTAAGCTTCTGCCTTCAGCTCAGGTCATGATCCTGGGGTCCTGGGATCGAGCCCTGCATCGGGCTCCCTGCTCGGCAGGAAGCCTGCTTCTCCCTCTCCTGCTCCCCCTGCTTGTGTTCCCTCTCTCGCTGTGTCTCTCTCTGTCAAATAAATAAATAAAATCTTTAAAAAAAAAAAATTGACAATACATAATGTGAGGAGGATATGAAGCAGTAGAATGTAAACTAATACAATCACTTTGGAAAACAGTCTGACACTATTTTGCTATTCCATTCCTGCAGAAACTCCTACACACATTTAGAAAGGGATACATACGAGAAAGATCAGCATGGTATTGTTCCTATTATTCACAAACTGGACACTATTTAAATGTCCAAAGACAGGTGAATGGTTAAGTAAATTGCGGTACATTCACCTGATAGAAGAGTATACATGAAAGAAAATAAGCAAATTGTAGCAACAATTAACAGCATTGATGAATCTAGAAATATAACCTTGAGTAGGAAAAAAACAGCACATAAAATGTATGTCAATATTCATAATATTCAACAAGAAAAGCTAAAAAATAATTCAGGAATACGTTCATATGAGGTAATATTATATTAAAAAAGTAAAGAAATAGTAATAATAGTAAAAGCTGAGGACAGGGTTACCATTGTATGAAAAGCAGGAGTGAGATTAGGGAAGATCCCATAAGAACCTCAAAAATCTTGGTAATACGTTAGTTCTTAATTAGGTGGGTTAATGGTTGTTCACATTATTATTATGCTCCATAATTTCTATATTCCATATCTGTATATGTGTGTGCTATAAACCACATGTTTCATATTTTTTTAAATTTTAAGATGAAAAAATTTAAAAATACAATGAATCGATTTTCAAGGCCAAGAAAATCAATAGGGAAAGGACAGTCTTTTTAGCAAATGGTGCTGGAACAAGATATACATACAGAAAAAAAAATAAACTCAATTCCTACCATTACATCCATGAAAATCTGCAATGGATTATAGACCTAAATGTAACATAAGAGAATATCTTTGCAACCTTAGGGTAGGCAAAGATTTCTTAGGCAGGATAAAAAAAAAAAAAAAGCACTAACCATAAATGACAAACTGATAAAAGTGAACCTCACTGACATTAAAAACATCTGCACATCAAAAGGCACCTTTCAGAAAATGAAAATCCAAACCAATGATAAGGAAAATGTTATTTTACTTATAAATATATGTATATATACGACATTTTTATCAAATACATATATGTAGGGGCGCCTGGGTGGCTCAGTCGTTAAGCGTCTGCCTTTGGCTCAGGTCATGGTCCCAGGGTCCTGTGATCCAGCCCCACATCGGGCTCCCTGCTCAGCGGGAAGCCTGCTTCTCCCTCTCCCACTCCCCCTGCTTGTATTCCTGCTCTTGCTATCTCTCTCTCTGTCAAATAAATAAATAAAATCTTAAAAAAAATACATATATGTATATATATGTGTATATATGATGGCGGACTTGTATCCAGAATATATAAACAATTCCTACAACTCAATAATAAAAAGAAAACAAGTCAATACAGAAATAGGCTAAAGTCTTAAACATATATTTTCACAAAAGAGAACATACAAATAGATAATAAACATATGAAAAAGTTCTCAATCATTAATCATCAGGGAAATGCAAAATTAAAACCACAAAAACATTCAATTTCACACCTACCAGAAAGGCTAAAATTAGAATGACTGGAAATACGAAGTGTTGAGGAAAATGTGGAACTGGAGGTAATATACTGCTGCTGGCGGGAGTGTAAAAATGACACAAGAACTTTCGAAAACCTTTTGGGAAACTGTTCTAAAGTTAAAAATACCCTAAGCTTATGACTCAGAAATCCCACTCCTACTATGTATTTACCAAAGAAAAATGAAAATATGTCCATAAAACTAGTTGTATGAGAATGTTCATGTAGTTCTACTCACAACAGCCCCAAACTGGAAGCAATGAAAACGTCACACAAGTGAATGGATAAATAAGTTGTGGCTTATTCATCCAATGGAATTCTACTCAACAACAACAGAAAAGGAACAGACATGCCAAAATATATATATCTCAAATACATTATGTTGATGAAAGTAGTCCCAGATAGTTCATATTCTATGACTCCATTTAAATGTAGTTTCAGAACTATATTTCTAAACTAGAGTGATAAAAATGAGTACATAGTGGGTTGGGCAGGGAGGAGGGGCTCCAATGGATAGAGAAACATAGTAAATTTTTGGGAAGAGTGAAAATGCTCTATATCTTGATTGGGGTGGTGGTTGTCACATGGATGTTTACATGTATCAAAACTCAACAAACTACTCACTTAAAATCAGTGCATTTTAATATATGTACATTTTATCTCATAAAAATATAAAAAAGTGAAATAAAATTAAGATACTATGAGAAAGGAAAAATTTTAAATGAGTGGTTGGAAGTTAAATGAGTACCAAGTTATATAGAAATGTTGGAAAATAAAGTTGAGACAACTGCTCAGAATATAGAACAAAAAGCAAATAGATAAAAACATAAGAAAAAAGGTTATAGACCTAATGAGTCAAACCAAGAATCCAAGAACCACCTTATAGGAGTTGCAAAAAGAAAACAGAGAAAAATAAAGGAGAATAAATTATGAAAGACAGAATAGGAGAAAATTCCCCACAGCAGAAGGGTAACGTGTACTTCAAATTAAAAAGGCTTATGAAATGAAAATACCCACACTGAGACATTTTATCCTAGCTCCTTTCAATGAGTTCACTGCAAGATGAATAAACTCACAAGACATGTCATCATAAATTTTCAAAGCATCATGCAAAACTAAAATTTTTTAATCACTCCAGAGAGAAAACAAATAGTTTATGCATCAACAAGTTGTAAGACTGTCATTCTCATCATTTCATGAGCAATAGTGAAAGAGGACAACAAAGCCTTGAAAGACTTAAAGAGACATAGTTCTGTTTCTATATCCTACCAAACTATCAGTCATAATAGCAAAAATAATTTACAGCCCTATGAACATTACAAAATAAAATTACCATCCACATACCTTTTATGAATAAGTATCCTTAGGATGTATTCTACCAAAAGAGAGGAGAAAAACAAAAAACAGAATATGTGTGGTTAAGAAACAATGTAATTTACCAGAATGTAATCTGTTCAAATTAAACAGAAAGTGATTGGGCTTCAAAGGGAACATCTTCAAGCAGAGAAATGGAATGGAAGCTTCTCATACAAAGAATGAGAGGACATGGTGAAGAAAGCATGTGATGGGAGGACTTTGTGAAAAAAGCACATGTACCTTGTCCCCAAAAGTAAACAGAAAGTCCTTTGTAAAAGTGAGGAAGGTTAAAAGCTATATAGGAAGTACCCAATCCAAAAAATAAATCACACTTAACTATGGCATAATTTTTTGTCATCATAGAGGAAGAAAGAAGTCAATTTAATGTTAATATTACAAGTCTTCTCCTTAGTGTGGCATAGGGGTCATGAAATGAAGACAATGGGAAGGAAATGTATCATGGCATACTTTTTGGCCCTGGATTTAGGAATATTTACAAAGCCATAATATTGTAACATTTTACTGTTTTTTAGCACACAAAAAAGCAAAAAAACTGTAGTTAAGAAATACAATATAGATATTATTAACCTTGACAATGTATAAGTAAAGGTCCAGATAAGGGAAGGTGGGAGTGGTGGATGTAGTTTCTGCAGTGGTAAAGAAGGTAGAGTCATTACTTTCCTCATTTTACCAAATAAGGAGCCCAAATACATTTTTGAAAATTGACATGAAAAAATAATTTTTATATATTATTTAAAATTATAACATTAACCAATATGAAAAACTAAAAATTGTAATAACTAATTAAAACTTTGGAGAAGAGAGGTTGGGGATAGTGTGGGTTATCTTAAGAATTAAAAAAAAAAAAGAATGGGCATTTTAACTTATTATTCAACATATAGACCTAAAGTTAGAAAAGATTAAAGGTGGTCATTTCTGACGAAGAGGACTAAGGGTAGGAAGGGGGACACTAAACTGCTGCATTTTATTATGCAATCCTTCTGTATTACGCTGTTTGACTTTCAATTAGACAGCCTCTATCAGACAACTGAAAATCAAATAACCAAATAAAGAAAATGCAAATTATTCAAAAGGATAAGATACTAGTTAGCATAAAACATTTCATCAATATTCCACTTCAACTACTTCCTAGATGGGTGCACATAAAAAGGTTCATATGTACAAAATATACACATAGATTTGTTCACATTTGGTGAGCGGAAGAAAGCTACTGAAAAAAAAAAAAAGCCGAGGTGAGAGATTAGTTGAGTAAAAACAATGTAAGCAGAGGGGTTTGAAAATTCATTCATTCAACAAATATCTTGAAGCTGTTTGATGTCAGGTGTTTTTCCAGCTGCCTGGCCAAGGACAGTGACTAAGACACAATCCCTGCCCTCAAAGAACTTTGAGTCGAAATGAGAAGGGGGGGGGGGGGCGTTGATGCTGATTTCATCATGAATAGTTCACACATTTCTTCAACGGGCGAATAATACTAGTTCATTTATTTTATATACATTCCCTCAAAAAAGTTGTCTTTCTGTCCCAAATAAAAACAGGAACCAAGGGGCCTTAAAAAGCAACCACTGACAATTCCAATTGTTCACATTCTCCCGCTCCCCAGGGAATGTTACATCTCGACAACTGACTAAACCTTTGAAACCAGAAACAAAACCAAGACTTTATATCTATGGTAAGTAACGGAGAGCTGATTCCACATTCTCTAGCCTCTTCTTTAAACCCTCCTTTGAAGCAGTGATGCAGTGGTTACTCTCAAATGGCTGCCTACAGTTCCCAAAGGACTCAGGTCAACTCGTTTTGGGGGGGCGGGGGGCGGGAAGGCGGACATTAGCTAAGGCTGCGCACAGTCCTCAGCAGCAAGCAGCTCCACAGGTTGGCTCCCCTTACTGTGGGACAAGCCGGGCCACTCGCTGCACTTGACTTTCCTCTACCTCCCACCAGCCCCACCCACTACGACACACAAAACTGACAAACCCAAATACCTGCCTCTGAGTGTGGGGACGCAGGCGGCCACAAACACAAGGGGATGGAGCTTCTACACAGGGCCCCAGCTTGTTGCTGTGGCTGCTGCCGCGGCCGCTACTGCTTAGTGTACCAGACCCTGCATTTCAGCTGCTTCTACAAAAGAAGCCGCTCCTCGAGCGCCGGAGTTGCCCTTTGCCCGCTAGCTAGAATCCGCCGAAATTTCCAGCTCGGAATCTGGCCAGGAGCGTGAGTCTGACTCTCTCCACTGACAGCTCCCAGCTCTCCCCGCCCCACCCTCGATTCCGCCGGGCCATTTCCTCTGACCTCACAACTTCCACGACACAACGTTGAGGAAAGACCCAGACGTCCAGCGTTTTGCCCCTTGCCCAAGCTGGTGACAAAATGTAGACACCAAGGAAGAAGTGCAGGGGGATTGGAGTTATTGGTTAAGGAAACAGAAGACGGAGAGCGTGGTGTGGCTGCGCACAGGAAGGGGGAGACAGAATTTGGAGTTAAATCGGTGGAACGCTCAGGCGTTTGCTGGGGACACCTCGTTGGGTCCTTTCTCAGTGCTGTCGTGTGCGGGAGCGTGTTCCCAACTGGTCCGGACTGAGGCTGCCCGAGTGAGGCTCCCCAGGTTGCTCTGTCCACCGATTCATGTGAGTGACGCCCACCGAGGGTCCCGGGTAGGCTGGTTGAGTTCGAAGGAGTCCCCCTTCCCTTACTCGACTTGGCGAGATGGGACCTGGCCTGCCGAAACTAGAGGGAAATACGCTCATCCCAACACCAGGCTAGAATTTGAATTCATTTCCTCAATACATGCCTCGTAAATAAATAAATAAACAAAAAAGAAACATTCACGAAAAGAATAGTTTTAGGTCTGTTTTCTGTATTTTGGCAAAGGTTGCAAAAACACCCCTGGAGTTATTGCCGGTTACCACTGCTATATAATTTGAGTATCTCTGGGACTCATTGTTCTCAGAATATTTAATTTTTATTATTTACCTTTTTAAAAATTCTGACTTTTGGCACGTGTTTTAAATCCTAGTAGGAGTTTTAAGATAGTTCTAAAAAGTACCACGTTATGTAGCATGGTAATAAAGATGCTCTCCATATGGGGTGATTTGGCAGGTTACGAAGCAAATGGAGGAACGAAGATTGGAAGGTTAGATTAGGAATTGACGGTGGGAGGAGAGAAAAAAGTGATTAAAATTACTATAGTTTATTGGGCGCCTGGGTGGCTCAGTTGGTTAAGAGACTGCCTTAGGCTCAGGTCATGATCCTGGAGTCCCAGGATCGAGTCCTGCATCGGGCTCCCTGCTCAGCAGGGAGTCTGCTTCTCCTTCTGACCCTCCCCCCTCTCGTGCTCTCTCTCCCATTCTCTCTCAAAAAAAAAAAACCTAAAAAAAGAATTACTATAGTTTATTAATCCTGATGTACATGCTTTTCTCATATTTACTTTTCTAAAATTGTCATGCATTTTATAATTGTCTTAAAATCACTATGAGCTAAGTGGCACTTGTGACATAGTTGTCAGTGGCCCTACTTGTGCATACTTGGTCATAACTGTCAATATTGTCATCAGTTCAGTTATGTGTAGTGTTAGTATATAGTAGTTGACTTTAGTCTCCATTTTAAGTATCCTTTATATGATGAATTACCATTAAAGTGAAAAGTTAATGTGTATGCAGAAATATAGGGAAACAAAAGAGTTATATAAGATAAAAATAGGGCTAAATTTAAAAGAGATTTTTCAAATAATACAGGATGTGTGCTCTTTTTCTTTCTTTTCTTTTTTTTTTTTTTTAAGATTTTATTTATTTGACAGAACGCAAGAGAGGGAACACAAGCAGGGGGAGTAGGAGAGGGAGAAGCATCTTCCTGCCGAGCAGGGAGCCCGATGCAGGGCCCTATCCCGGAACCCTGGGATCATGACCTGAGCCGAAGGCAGATGCTTAACGACTGAGCCACCCAGGCGCCTGTGTGCTTTTTTCTTAATGGTACATAAAATGACAGAGCGTCTTAATTGGAGCCATTTTACAATTGATAGCATCTTAGATTTGATGAAATACAATCCTTATGGCATCTAAGAAGAATATAAACCTTTACCTAATTGAAGTTCTGAAACAGTGAAATCAGGTGTTTTGGAAAGTAGAGAGACACTTCCAAATTTTTGTAGAATTCCTATATTATAAAGGAAAATTGACAACCTGCACTTAAATCTTCCATTTCAAAATAATAGCTTATTTGTTTATATTTGGTCCCTAACATTGAAAACCTGGGGCAGGGAGTTTGCTATGTAAAAGGAATTACTGGATATAAGACTGGTGAATCACTGAACTCTACCTCTGAAGCTAGTAATACACTATATGTTAATTAATTGAATTTAAATTAAAAAAAGGAATTATTGGGCGCCTGGGTGGCTCAGTTGGTTAAGCGACTGCCTTCGGCTTAGGTCATGATCCTGGAGTCCCTGGATCGAGTCCCGCATTGGGCTCCCTGCTCTGCGGGGAGTCTGCTTCTCCCTCTGACCCTCCTCCCTCTCATGCTCTCTGTCTCTCATTCTCTCTCTCACAAATAAATAAAATCTTAAAAAAAAAAAAAAAGAATTATTGGCAATTTAGAATCAGAGTGGGGAAAGACTACTGAGGAAATTGCTGAGATAAAGGGAAGCCATTTGGAAATGACAGAAATCTCAGAAATAGCCTTTTGTATATGTTTTAATGATTAAGATGTCTAAATTCATGTATTTCATAAAATCAGCCTCAGCTTTGATTAGTGGCATCTTACAATGGCTTTTTAGGTCTAATGAAATATAATGCATATTGTGAACAAAATTAATGTTAAGAGGCAGAATAATTTAGATAATACTTTTCAAATTCTTTTTGTCATAAAAATAAAGTCATTTTTTTTTTTAAAGAGTTTTTATTTATTTATTTGACAGAGTGAGAGAGAGAGAGCACAAGCAGGGGGAGTGGCAGAGGAAGAGGGAGAAGCAGGCTCCCCGCAGAGCAAGGAGCCTGATGCAGGGCTCGGTCCCAGGGTCCTGGAATCATGACCTGAGGTGAAGGCAGCGGCTTAACTGACTGAGCCACCCAGGCACCCCAAGGTCATTATTTTTTAATTTAGTAAAGGAAAAAAAAATCTAAACTGTCCAAGAATTCTTACTATCCAGACAGAATTAACATCTCATGGACTGTTTTCTCTTTTTTTCTTTATGTGTTTTATATTTGTAATTACTGTGCGTGCAGTTAAGTATTATTTCTCTGTGTAATTTTTTTCTCTATGTAAGTGTTTTACATTTATGATTACTGTACATGCAATTAAATATGTCTGTTTTATCTCCTAATCATTAAATAAAATTTAGTGCAGATTAAGCCAGTATTCCCAAACTCTTTTAGAGGATACTATTCTAGTAAATGTTAATAGGTGTTCCTTGGTTAGGATTCTGTGGTTAAATACATTTGGAAACTCTACATAATTATGTCTTTTATAGAAATTATAGCTTGGACATTAAAAGAGCTAACTCCAGAATCAGACAGACGGTAAGTTTTAATCCTTTTATTTACTAACTAGTCATATGACCTAAGGCAAATTAATTTTAATTCAAATTTTCTTCTGTGTATATAATGGAAATAATTACAGTATTCATGGGTGATCTATGTAATGCATTCAGCCAGCCCATAATAAATACTTTGCAAATTTTATCTGTTATTGTTTTATTAACATTATCATCTGTGAGAAACCCTAAGTCTATTAGCACATTGAAAGCTCTGAGGAGACTAAGGGAACTTAAAAGTTACAAAATTCAACAGGTACTCAATGTAAAGTTGAAAATCACTATGGAGCAGTTGGCGCACAATAATGAAATGAGCACTAGGTTGAATGGTGCAAGATCTGTCTGAGCTTTAAGCTTTAAGTTGTTTCTAAACTAGCACTGTTGCCCTAAACATAACCTCATTTAAATTTGTTTTTCCAATTTACTGTGTTTCCCTCATTTGTCTGAAAGCTTAGTGAGTACCAAGAACATGTTTAATTTTGCTCTTTACTATAAACCCAGCACATGGCTCAAAATCAGGAAATAGAAGTAAAATTGCAGTCGTGAACTTAAATTTTTTTATAGGGGCCTGGCAGGTAGCGTAAATGGCAGACAACAGGGAGTTGTGCAGTCTGTTTTGCCTTGCTTAAAGCATTCACCTTCAGCTGTTTCGATCATTGTTACCCTGGAACACAAAGACATCCCTGATCTCTGTGGTGATAGTTTGTAATCCGTAGAAGAGACTAGAGATCAGGACCAAACTCTGAAAAACATAAGCATTAAAGGGACAAGTCAAGAAAAAAGAGCCCTAAAAGGAGGTAAAGAAGTAGGAAGTGAAATCAGGTGAAACTATCCTCATTTTATAATTAAGAAAATAAAGCACAGAAAAGTTAAGTAACTTTACCAAGGTCACACAGCCTATTAAGTATGTGATTCAACCAAGATTTGTTGGCTAAAGATACTGCTCTTCTGCTGGTGCTAGTGATCAATATCTGCATATTGCTAGAAAGTATGGACATAAACTTATGCATACAACTTATATTTTTGAAAGTTTAAAGACAATTAACACGTACTAGAAAACCTGTTTCCAGAGCTTCTAATTCTAAAAACAATAAATAGCTCTTAGCATTTGAGAAAAAGTTGTGTCAACATATAGACCTGACTAGAAGCTAATCCAAAATATCTCAAAAGGCATGTTAATTTTGATATCATGAATAATATTGCCAAGATAACCAATTATCTAGGAGTAGAGAAAAAGTAGACACTGCTTAACACCTAGTGTGTTTTATAATCATTCCTAAGTTTTATTTTCCCAAGAAAACTTGATTATTACCAGAAAAATGACTGTGCTAGCAAAAGATATTTCCTCTCTTCTTTTAATGAGGCTTCCTTTGTAGTGGTATTGCTGATATTGTGGCAGTTAAGGTAGTTACAAGTAACCTATCACTATATGATATATGTTGTAAATGTTGGAAGGTTATTAATTATTGTGTAACCAAATAAGGACTTTGTCATAAGTAATTAGGATGTAGAGTATTTTCAGGTTTTAAATTCATACACTCTTAAGTTTGTGGTTCACTGAATTTTTTTTAAGACTTTATTTTTTAGAGCAGGTTTAGATTTGCAGCAAAACTGAGCAGAAGGTATTTAGTGAATTTTTATTCTTTTTTTCTTTTCCTTAAACCAGAATGATTTATATCATTTTCATAAAAGAGTTTTTCTCTTTGTATTCTTGGCCATTTGTATGCCTTTGGCAAAATGGTACGTATGGCTCATGCTGGATTGCTTTGCCTTCTGAGCTAGAGCTGAGAACTGTTAATATTAGTCCTTAGAAGACCTTCACAAGGCATTTAGAGTGAAATCTGCTATATGCCACTGAGTGTTCCTTCTTTGTGTACCAGTTGTTTAAATAATCTTAAGTCTATTACCTTTAGAGTTTCCATAATTATGATGACAATATCTATTTGTAGGGAAAAGTGCAAAGATTTTCCGTTGGCTGTTGTCTTATTGTATTCCCTTGGACAGGAGTCCGTGGATATATTTTGTACACTATTATAAATACAAAATTTAGAATTAATGTAAATATATTAATATTTATCACCCCTGTAGACTGTATACCATTCACAGAGAAATTAAGGTGTGGCTTAGCCAAATTACCTACTATATTTTAATATCAGTTTCCATAATTTGTATTTTTATTATTTGTTATGTTCTTGACCTTTAAGAAAATGTAAAAATCATAGCTAAGGATCTACAAAATATCATGCCCATAGGTAACCCATACTACTGTGAGCTTCGTGAAGGTGGGGATTGTACATATATCCTTTGTTGTGTTCCCAAAATTGTGCTCAGTGCCTCACATTTTTTAGCTATGTGCCAAAAATCTTGAGTATTATTCATGGTATCGCATTTTGCAATGTATCAGTGCTATGGAATATATAAAATTATCTCCATTTTACAAATGAGAAAACTGAGGCTCAGAGAGGTTAGGTAAGTTGTTGAGGGGCAAAGGGTAGGATTTGATTCAAGGTCTTGTGATTTCCAAGTCCATGTTCTTTTTATTAAATTACCTTTATCTCATTACTCTTGTAATAAGTCTTAATATTCTAAATAAGGAGGAGAAATAATAATATGTACCTTAAAGTATTGTGATAATTAAATAAGTTAATACTGTGAAGTGCTTAGAAAAAGACCTGGCAAATACTAAAAACAAAGTAAACACTAGATATTATTATTACCCAGTAATACCTATCAGGAAATTTGAGATGACTCTGTCATCCATAATTATTTTATATGTGAGTGGTTTATTAGGATCACTGTCCTCTCTCTCTGTTCTCAACATTTTAAGACTTCATGGCCTATGAAGTGCCTGGTTGTCTCAGCTAAGCATTGGACTCTTGATTTAGTTTCTGGTCATGATCTCAGGATTGTAACATTAAGCCACACGTCCTGCTCTGCACTCAGCACAGAGTCTGTTTTTCCCTCTCCCTCTGCTCTCCCCCACCCCCACTTGTATACTCTCTATCTCTAAAATAAGTAAATAAAATATTTTTTTCATGATTAACAAATTTTATTTTATTTTATTTTATTTTTAATTTTATTATGTTATGTTAGTCACCATACATTACATCATTAGTTTTTGATGTAGTGATCCATGATCCATTGTTTTCGTATAACACCCAGTGCTCCATGCAGTACGTGCCCTCCTTAATACCCATCACCGGGCTAACCCATCCCCCCTCCCCCCTCCCCTCTAAAACCCTGTTTGTTTCTCAGGTCCATAGTCTCTCATGGTTCATCTCTCCCTCCAATTCCCCCCCCCCATTTTTCCCTTCCTTCTCCTAATGTCCTCCATGCTATTCCTTATGTTCCACAAATAAGTGAAACCATATGATAATTGACTTTCTCTGCTTGACTTATTTCACTTAGCATAATTTCCTCCAGTCCCATCCATGTTGATGTAAAAGTTGGGTATTCATCTTTTCTGATGGCTGAGTGATATTCCATTGTATATATGGACCACATCGTCTTTATCCATTCATCTGTTGAAGGGCATCTCGGCTCTTTCCACAGTTTGGCTATTGTGGACATTGCTGCTATGAACATTGGGGTGCATATGGCCCTTCTTTTCACTACATCTGTGTCTTTGGGGTAAATACCCAGTAGTGCAATTGCTGGGTCATAGGGTAGCTCTATTTTTAAATTTTTGAGGAACCTCCACAGTGTTTTCCAAAGTGGCTGTACCAACTTGCATTCCTACCAACAGTGTAAGAGGGTTCCCCTTTCTCCACAACCTCTCCAACATTTGTTGTTGCTTTCCCTGTCCATTTTTGCTATTCTAACTGGTGTAAGGTGGTATCTCAGTGTGGTTTTGATTTGGATTTCCCTGACGGCTAATGATGATGAACATTTTTTCATGTGTCTGTTAGCCATTTGTATGTCTTCTTCAGAGAAGTGTCTGGTCATATCTTCTGCCCACTTTTTGACTTGATTATTTATTTTTTGGGTGTTGAGTTTGAGAAGTTCTTTATAGATCTTGGATACCAGCCCTTTATCTGTAGTGTCATTTGCAAATATCTTCTCCCATTCTGTGGGTTGCCTCTTTGTTTAGTTGACTGTTTCCTTTGCTCTGCAGACTTTTTATCTTGATGAAGTCCCAAAAGTTCATTTTTGCTTTTGTTTCACTAGCTTTTGGAATGTATCTTGAAAGAAGTTGCTGTGGGTGATGTCAAAGAGGTTACTGCCTATGTTCTCCTCTAGGATTTTGATGGATTCCTGTCTCACATTGAGGTCTTTCATCCATTTTGAGTTTATCTTTGTGAATGGTGTTAGAGAATGGTCGAGTTTCATTCTTCTGCATGTGGCTGTCCAATTTTCCCAGCACCATTTTTTGAAGAGACTGTCTTTTTTCCATTGCATGTTTTTTCCTGCTGTGTCAAAGATTATTTGACCATAGAGTTGAGGGTCCATATCTGGGTTCTCTCTTCTGTTCCATTGGTCTGTATGTCTGTTTTTGTGCCAGTACCATGCTGTTTTGGTGATCACTGCTTTGTAATATAGCTTGAAATTAGGCAATGTGATGCGCCCAGCTTTGTTTTTCTTTTTCAACATCTCATTGGCGATTCGGGGTCTTTTCTGATTCCATACAAATTTTAGGATTGTTTGTTCCAGCACTTTGAAAAATGTCATTGGAATTTTGATGGGGATGGCACTGAAGGTACAGATTGCTCTGGGTAGCATAGACATTTTAACAATGTTTATTCTTCCGATCCATGAGCATGGAATATTTTTCCATCTTTTTGTGTCTTCTTCAATTTCTTTCATGAGTGTTTTGTAGTTCCTAGAGTATAGATCCTTTACCTCTTTGGTTAGGTTTATTCCGAGATATCTTACGGTTTTTGGTGCTATTGTAAATGGAATCATTTCTTTAATTTCTCTTTCTACAGTTGCGTTGTTAGTGTATAAGAAAGCAACTGATTTCTGTGCATTGATTTTGTATCCTGCCAC